GAAGACCTTGTCTCCTAGACGGCCACCAGGACAAGACCACAGGAACCAGTTGAGTCCTCTGCTCAATGTGACTTTGTTGCAGCCTGGAATTGAACTGTTGGTTTTCGTCTGGCCAGAGGAGAACTGGCCCCCCGACTGAGCCTGGTTTCTCCCAAGGTTTTTTCTCCATTCTGTCACCGATGGGAGTTTTGGTTTCTTGCCACTGTCGCCTCTGGCTTGCTTAGTTGGGGACACTTAATTTCCAGCGATATCGTCGACTTGATTGCACAGATACTATTTAAAGTGAACTGAGCTGGATGATGACATCACTGAATTGATGAACTGCCTTTAACTGAAAACTGAGTGCTTACTATTGTCATTTTGCATTAACGACACACTATTTTCCTAATTAATGCTGTACAGTTGCTTTGACAACAAGACCACAGGAACCAGTTGAGTCCTCTGCTCAATGTGACTTTGTTGCAGCCTGGAATTGAACTGTTGGTTTTCGTCTGGCCAGAGGAGAACTGGCCCCCCGACTGAGCCTGGTTTCTCCCAAGGTTTTTTCTCCATTCTGTCACCGATGGGAGTTTTGGTTTCTTGCCACTGTCGCCTCTGGCTTGCTTAGTTGGGGACACTTAATTTCCAGCGATATCGTCGACTTGATTGCACAGATACTATTTAAAGTGAACTGAGCTGGATGATGACATCACTGAATTGATGAACTGCCTTTAACTGAAAATTGAGTGCTTACTATTGTCATTTTGCATTAACGACACACTATTGTCCTAATTAATGCTGTACAGTTGCTTTGACACAATCTGTATTGTTAAAAGCACTATACGAATAAAGGTGACTTGACTTGACTTGCATGGCATGAGTTTGGCTACATTACTGTCATTTGGCTCATCAAAGTGGTCAGACACAGCATGTTACTTACAGTACTTTATATTTTTGCATTAACTTACTTAAAAAAAACTATAAGCAGCAGCAGGGGAATTTAGAGTAAAACGCCATAGTGTTAAAAATGATCATTTATCATAACATGCATCTTGTTATTTTAACCAGCCTATAAGAGAACACCATGTAACCAAGTGCAAGAATGTTTGTGTGTGTTTAAAGTGTCCATGTATAAACAGTTCTCACCAATGGCTTGAAAGATGCTCAACATCCAGTCCGAGTGGATTCCAGTAATGAATGTATTAATATGTTCAGAGACTCTGGTGACAGAGAGACACTGAGAATCACTGGGGACTTGACAGATCATTTGTTCCAATTTAATCCACATGTGAAAATCAAAGCCACATATGAAACGCTGTGGACGTCAGATGCAGAAACACATTGATCTGATCGTGACGCACAACGCTGTAGATCTGTTTGAAGTTCACCTCAGACAGATGCATCTGTACAAAATCACAAATGAAAAAACAAAAACAAATTTACACTCTTTTTAGCACAAGAACATGTTTGCAGAGTGAACATGGATGCAAGACAAACGATATAGTACTATATATTTCAAAGGTCAAGTGTGTGCAGAGTAAAACAGTTTCTCTTGTCCCCGAACACAGAAAAATTGATCCATCAGAACATTACAGGTGCGTTCAGTACGTTGGTGCGCATATTTAAACCTGTCATCACCAGATATCACACTAGTCATCACATTAAGGCTAAACATTAAGGTCTTTTGAAGTTATCTTTATTTATAGTAAGTAAACTAAATTAAACATTGATTAAGCATTGTAACGTCTTCATAATAAATTATATTTTTACTTTCTTTATGAATGTTTTTCCCTTGTCAGAATAAATATGTTTGATTTCTATTAAATGAAAATGTAAGGTTTGAACCAAACCATAAATATAATTTGAGAAAAATTACTTAATTTGGCTGTAACCATTTTTTTTTTTTACACTGGCTTATTTATTTATTTATTTCTATGGGAGAAGCCTGGTTCTAAAGAGAAACCTGTACAGCAAAATATCTCCTTTTGTGTTCCGCAGGAAAATAAAGTTATTTTGACATACGGGTGAATACATGATGACAGAATTTTATTCAGTGAATTATCAATAAAAAAAATAAAAAAACAATCCAAGAAAAAGGAGAAAGTTTAAAAATAAAAAAATGTTACTACAACTAATCAAATTTACTATTGATGTAAGGAAAGGTAGTTCTTGCTTAAATGGCAAAAGTCCAAAAAAAAAGGATTGTGTTGTTAGTCTGAACATACTGCCTGAACTCATTCATGTCTGTAATTTAAATCTTGATAGCAATTTAGACCCATTAAAACAACCACAACATGTATGTAAACCTCTCAGAAGCTCCTTCCTAATGTGGTTTAGAGGCTAATGTGTGGCTAATCTAGAGAAGGGTTAAAAGAAAACACATAACTGGCTTTGTGTGGGTTTTTTTCTGGATGTCTGAGTAAGCAGCACTCAGGGGACATGCAGGGGCTAACAGGTCATATTTGACCACTATTGGCCCACGGTGCTCATCTACGGTAAACCACAAGCAGCTGTCCTCACAGCAGAGATGAGAAGCACATACACACACACACATCCCCACAGGAGCAGGAGGAGGAGAGAGAAAAAAAGAGAAGACTGTTTTTGCTTGGCATTACACTGAAGTCTTAGTAAACACATCCGTTTTAAAGCAAGCACACCTTCACAAAACAACTTGAATGGATATGGATCTTAACAAACAGAACACAGAACATGCTGACTGCAGTATGAGCAAGTGTGTGTGTGTGTGTGTGTGTGAGAGAGAGAGAAGTACAAGCATTTACTCACATCTGTGTCAGGGCCCTTGTCGGCTCCTGGACAGGAGAACGAAACAAACTCATGGCACCTTTTGTGGACCACAAAACAGCACACTGTGGATAGGAAGAAAGGGGAAATTAGACAAAAAACATAAACACATTTGTTTTATTATTCAAATCAAATATCAAACCAATATATACAGCAAAAATTTAATTTGTGATGTGCTATTGGCATGACATCAAATTTATATTGATCAAAAATATTACCATTGCAAATTCTGTGATTCTAGATACCAGTTGCATTATTCATTAATTAACACACTCCTTTATTAAAATAGTAATAGATATATAGATTAAAATAAACCAAAGCATTAAAAAATTTCTGAATGAAGTTAACATTGCTTTATATTAAATTAAAATTAAATTAAATGTATGCATTTAGCAGACGCTTTTATCCAAAGCGACTTACAGTGCATTCAGGCTATACATTTTTCATCAGTATGTGTGTTCCCTGGGAATTGAACCCACAACCTTTGCGCTGCTAACGCAATACTCTACCACTGAGCCACAGGAACATTATATATCTTTATATATCCAAGTTATTATTCAGTCAAACAATGAGTAAACTGAAACAAAACAAAACAAAACAAAGATCAGCCCTAATCTGATGATTATTGTGAAACTAGATGATCATCGTGACTCCTCCCAAATATATATGTACAAACATACAATAATTACTTATTGTATTATGGTTATATGTCCCGCAACCCTATAGGACAAGCGGTTTGGAGAATGCATGGTTATGTAATATCTATTCTGATAGATCTGTAAATTGCTACGGCAGTCAGCGGCTCACTCTCCTTATCAGCAATTCATAAACACATACACACATCTTAAAAGCATCCTTTACAGTTTAATAATGGATTTACAGCCATATTCATTCTGACTCTCTTTCAGATGAAACATTGCTCTGAGAGTCCTGAAGGAGACACAAATGCTGCATCGTATTTGTAGAAGTGCTCCATTGAGCAAACGCTTTCCAAAATCAAACAATTTCCACATCAATCTGTATGATGTAGCCTACTGCTGCTTTGGGAAAATCAATTCCAAGGTTTCTGTACCTGAGCCATTTTTTAATCAATAGTGGTTTTGTTTCAGCACTAACTTACAATGCTGTGCATCAAAGAAAAGGAATCATATGGCACAATTGAATTCAATACACTGTGATGCATCACATTATCATAAATAGTTCACAATTATTACAGTTCAAAATTACATTTTAATTCCTTATGATTGTCAATTTTGTTTTTCAGTAATTGAAAGGTAGAAAAGTATATGCATGCATTCATATCTTAAATATCAAGATCTTAAATATCAATGCAATATTGTAAGAAACAAAATGAATGTTAGTGCCTGCCCTGATTAAAACTTGTTGAATGATATATCTCATGAAATAAACAGCAAAGTGGAAATATAAATATTGCAAGAGTAAAAGGCCTCACAGGTTGCTGGAAGGTTCTGTTGTGCTGATCTGTTGTATTACACACGGCTGAGAGTGGAGATCTGTTTAAATGTCACCAGCATCAGCTACATTATCGGCACAAATGTCTCCCATAAACAGCATAGAGCTAGGAATGATTCCATTTCATCCAGCCCCTGTCAACAGCTGCATACAAACACCACCCTTCAATTTATATTGGGATACAGTCATTTAGATTTATAGTGTCGAGTGTGGCGTCTCATCTAGTTTCATCATCCTGACATGACAGACTAAATAATGATGAGACGCATATTAATGAATAAAGTGATCGGACAATATGAAAACATGCCACATACTAACTATGATTATGAGACAATGATGAGACAAATGCATGAATGCATTGTGAATGACACAGTCAGATTTTGCACAGGAAAACATGGAACACACACACACACACATACAGTACATGCAAAGATCGCTTCCATTTGAGAAGCAATGGGATAGCACTGTTTTAGCTGGCAACATAATCCTTGTTTCAAACTTTAGTGAGCTATTTCGCTATCTGCTGTCAGATATCAGTTAGCTTTTGGCAACATCATAACAAAAATGGAACCTCATAAGTGACTGATTTGGAACACTCTACAGAAGCAGCAACATACATGAAGTTTAAAAGAGACTCACAACAGATTTCATTAGTGATGGGTCATTTATTGATCAATTAGTGATGAGTCATTCATGAACGATTAATTCATCTGTCACATGACAAATAAACAAAAGACTCAGGAGATAAAGTAATCATTTATGTTCCTCAAATTATCTTTGGCTGCATTTCTAATTTGTAATATTATCAAGATTATGTAGGTGAATGTGTTCAGGGAATTCGGCTGTTGAAAATGTTTCATTTAAAATTACTTGGAAAAAGATTAGCATATTTTGATGAACAAGATCGAACGAGGGTATCAGTAAAATGATCCGATCTTCCCATCGCTAATTTCAATAGAGTATGACATTAGCATGTAGCTAAGCTGATGAGAAAATAGGCTGATGAACAAAAACAAACAGAACACACAATTTACACAAATAGCTAGTCAGTTTTAATTGGATTAAACTATTTGTTACTTTCAGCATTGAATACACATATAAGTTGCATTCTCAAATTGCCATCTTGGAAGGTAATCAAGATAGCTAATCAAGGTCTTCAGGATCACTAGAAAGTTACATTCAGGTGAGTTTGATCAAGGTTGGAGCTAAACTCTGCAGGAAAGCGGATCTTGAGAGCCAGAGTTGAGAACCCCTGACTTAGACTGTAGCAATGCAGCCATCTTCAAGTTCTGTGTTCAATTTAGGTGAAAAGAACGAATCCTAGAAGACTGGATAATGTTGCTTTCTACCTTCTGAACCAATGTTCATGTCAGAAGTATGCCTATGATGCCTAAAAATACTGACTATGTAGGACCATCACTAGGGTTTGGAACAGATCTGTTGTCCACAGTCAGATGTTTTCATCAGAGTTACAAATTACCTGCTCTTATTATCCCTATCGTGGTTGTATTTCTCTATTATTGCTACTGGATCTATCCACAATTGACCACAACATTCTTTTGAGTAAACTACAAAATGATGATGGCATTAGTGAAATTGCATTGGCATGGTTCAAATCTTACTTATCGAACCATCATCAGTTCATAGAAGTGAATGAAGAGGTATCATATCGATCACAATACAGTATGGAGTACCACAAGGCTCAGTACTAGGACCACTGCTTTTCATGCCTTACATGTTATCCTTGGGAGATATCATCAGGAAACATGGTGTTAGCTTTCACTGTTATTCTGATGACACTCAGCTCCATGTTTCTTCATGGCCCGATAATACATACCAATTCAAAAAACTAATGGAATGCATAGTTGATATAAAAATACATGGATGACTAGTAATTTCCTACTGCTAAATTCTGAAAAAAACAAACAAACAAACAAAAAAAAAAAACAGGTGTTAATTATTGGAACAAAAACCTCCACATGTAATAACCTAGATCACTGTCTAACACTTGATGGCTGCTCTGTCAATTCTTCGTCATCAGTTAGGAACCTAGGTGTGCTATTTGATAGTAATCTTTCCTTTGAAAACCATGTTTCTAGCATTTGTAAAGCCACATTTTTCCATCTTAAAAATATATCTAAATAAATAAAGACCTATGCTCTCAATGTCAAATGCAGAAACGTTAATTCATGCGTTCATGACCTCAAGGTTAGATTTATTGGGTGGTTGCTCTGCGCGCTTAATAAACAAACTCCAGCTGGTCCAAAATGCAGCAGCTAGAGTTCTTACTAGAACTAGGAAGTATGACCATATTATCCCAGTTCTGTCAACTCTGCATTGGCTCCCTGTTGAAGATTGTATACATTTTAAAATCTTACCAATTAATTATAAAGCCCTGAATGGTTTAGCTCCTCAATACTTGAGTGAGCTCATATCGCATTATTGTCCTTCACGTCCACTTTGATCTCAAAACTCTGGCCATTTGATCATGCCTAGAATATGAAAATCAACTGTGGGCAGCAGATCCTTTTCCTATATAGCGCCAAAACTCTGGAACCATCTACCTAGCGTTGTTCGGGAGGCAGATACACTCTGTCAGTTTAAATCTAGATTAAAGACCCACCTCTTTCAACTGAAGGGGTCATGAGGGGGACCCATACATGTCCCCTAACTCTGTGTTCTCTGGCAACAAGTCTGTCTCTAAGGGAAAACAATGAGATATAGACTTCTGGAATAGCACGCTCATACTCTCATAATTGTCTTATTAAACATGCCTCTGGCAGAGAGTTGGTCGTCTGGCCCAACCTTCCAAATAAATTAGACCAGCAGCACAAAGGGTCCCATTTCCTACTAACTGAAGTGTTCTTACTTAAGTGCTCATGCAACATTTCTGTTGGATTCACAACAGCTGAAGTGTCAGCAACACTGAATGTGCCACAATGGACCCTGTAGCATGAAGGTCCTAACACTGGGACCCAGCCCAGCTGGCAGCTGCACGGATTTGTTCAACAGGAATAACCTTAAACAAGACACCAGGTTAAGCCATGACATGCAACATTTCTGTTGGATTCACAACAGCTGAAGTGTCAGCAACACTGAATGTGCCACAATGGACGCTGTAGCATGAAGGTCCTAACACTGGGACCCAGCCCAGCTGGGTCAACAGGAATAACCTTAAACAAGACACCAGGTGAAGCCATGACACACAAAATGATCCCAGGCAGAGTTAGAGGGTACTTTGTCTGAGCTATGAATGCCTCAACAATCCTGTGTGAAAGCCTTTGACTAAATAAAAGCCTAAACTTTCAGCAAACCATCAAAGTAAGTGCTGGAGAAGTCTGGAGCCCTTACTTCTGTTTATGTAAAATGGTGGAGGACAAATGATTTGCACTTTGCCCTTTAAATAGTTGCAAGAACAGCATTAGCTTTCTTCAACAGGAATAACCTTAAACAAGACACCAGGTGAAGCCATGACACACAAAATGATCCCAGGCAGAGTTAGAGGGCACTTTGTCTGAGCTATGAATGCCTCAACAATCCTGTGTGAAAGCCTTTGACTAAATGAAAGCCTAAACTTTCAGCAAACCATCAA